GGAGAGGGGGGAGGGGACAGTTCCATGGGAACTTGGACCAGGCCAGGCCTTCCTATGCACCACTAGTCCCATGACCCGAGGCAAGTCCCAGCAGCTCTCCAAGCCTCCATGCTCTCTCTCCCTCATAAAAAGGAGGTAAGCCCCCGCTGGTGTGGCTCAGCGGGTAGAGCGTCGGCCTGCGGACTGAAGGGGCCCGGGTTCGAGTCCCGGGCGGGGCGCATGCCTGGGGAGCGGGCTCGATCCCCAGTAGGGGGCGGGCAGGAAGCAGCCGATCCATGACTCTCTTTCATCGTGGATGTGTGTGTCTCTCTCTCCCTCCTCCTTAAAAAAAGGAGGTAAAATCACAGAGGCCATCTCCTAGGTTGGTGGGGAGGAGGGCAATGCATGCGTGACAACGCATGCACAGCGCTTAGCTTAGCAGGTGGTGAACGCGCAGGCCATGTCGGCGTGGGTCCTGAACAATACAGTCTTGTACCGAAGCTTCACATGTACAAGCCGGTCTAAGAATTGCACATACGCTGAGGTTCCCGGTGCCCACACTGTTCTCCCCTCGCCCGGGGTTCCTCGGCTGCCGGGAGCGGGATGGGGAAGCCAGTGAGGCGGACTCTGCAGCGCTCCCCCCTTCCCCACCGCGCTATGTGCACACCTTCTCAGGACGCGAGAAAGGAATCGGGGGCAGAGCTGCTCAAACCCATGGCTCTGGAGCTAACCGAGCTCGGCCCACCACGCCCCCGATGGAGGAGCTCGTGTGAGGCTCGAAGTGTACATTTAGCGGCTTTTAAAGGTGGTGTCCCCTTCTGCAAGTCCTTCCCGTGGGCTGTGTGGGACCCACTCATAGAGCCAGGGCGGCCAGACACTGGACGCGCGTGCTGGGCAGGCATGGGAGCGGCACCATATGGGTGACCACTTGTGGTTTTGGTTTGTTCGTTTGTTTGGAGAGAAATCACACCTTTGACCTGTATGTACTAAGGTCTTGCCTTGTCTGTTGGAAACAGGACCCCAGAACAAGGAAAGGGAGGTGGGAGGCCGCGTGGCTGGACCGGGGTGGGGGGAGCGCCCACTCCCGGCCCCTCGGAAGGCGGCCT